ACCTGGGCACCGCGGCGTGCGCGTGCGGCGGGCTTGGGGTGCCGAGCGTCGCGGTGGCGGGGACGGCCCAGTGCCCACGCCTGGGGTTGGCAGTAAAGGCGACAGCGTCAGGGGCAGAGGGCCGGGCGAGGTGCCTCGTGGAGCCCTGGAGTACAGGGAAGCCGGGAAGTGAGACCTTTGACTTAACCTTGGCCTTATGAACCTGGGGCCAGGGGAGTCCTGGTGGGGTCTGTGGCATCACACCTCCAAGTCTTAAGTGCCACCGCGCCCAGGGCTTCCTGATGTTCCTACTGCTTGGGCTCCCTGTGTCTCACCTGATGGCAGTGGTTAGTGGCCTTGTCCCATGTCACCCAGGAGGAATCCGAGGCTCCTTGGGGGATAAATAACTTGCGGGGTGAGTGAAGAAGCCAGGACTGGACCCCGTGTCTGCCTCTCCGAATCCAAACTGCACCCCTCAAGGTTGTTCATCTGCCCGATCAGCCGTCAGCGCCTCCAGTGCATCCAACACATCCGGGTGTTGGTGGGCGGCCACCAACAAGAGAGACTGCCCACCGCCCACGCCTGCTCCTGGCCTTCCTCTTCCTCTGATGCCTCACACGGGCCGAGAAGAGGTCTCTAAGATCCTCTTCCCTCCAGATGAACTGGCTGAAACCTTGTGAAAAGACCAGAGGACAGGTCAGTGTGTAGGAGGCAGAGGCACCCTGAGGGGGACTGGGCAGGACACTGTAGGGCTAACCCATAAATGCGCCCACTACCGCGGATTCCCTTCAGGAGCCTGGCCTAGTACTCAGAGTTGCACAAATAGTGAGAATACTGAGCCCCTCCTCCTAAAGGAAATAGAATTAGGCTCCCACAAGCCTCCGCTCTTAACATTTTTGTCCACCAGTCAACACAGTATCTTATTATTGTGTGCCGCAGGTACTGACTATTGTAAGCTAATTCGAAAACAGGAAATCTGCGGATAACAGAATCAATAGGATGTGCTTCTCAAGTCGGTAGACTCATGAGTAGAGAAATGGCCATGTTACATTTTAGAGTATTCACTGTGCACCAGACTTCCAGGCATTTATCCTGTCTTAACTGAATTAGTCAACACAGCAGCCTATGGGGTGGATATGATTTTCCTCCACTGCTTACAAATAAGCAAACTGAAGCAGAAGGGTTGAAATGCCACTGCCTATGCCACTTCTCAGATCATTCATATTCTAAAACCAGCCATGGTGGAGCATGGAGTTGACTGCAAAACCCACATGAATATTCAACATGAAATGGAGAATTCAAAGAAATATTATGCTGGTGCAATGGCAGCTGTGTCGAGCTGGGGGCCCTGTCTGCAGCTCAGGAAGGCATGAGGGCACCTCCAGAGCTGGGGGTTTGGCTGGGATGTGGGCTCTGCTCTGAGTGTTACTGTCTCACAGGACTTCCTGCTCATTTTCCCTCGGGCACTCCTGATTTTGAACCAGCAGCCAGGGAATCTGTCTCTGCAGCAGATACCTTCTAGCCAAGCTGCCCCTCAAAGAGCGGTTGGTCCTAAGAGAGAAAAGCAAAAAATAGCCCCAGTAGCCTTATGGGAGTTCTGTGTTCCTGTTTACCCTAGTTGGGTCAGGCAGGCAGTCTTACCCTTGTGGCTAAGTTCCTTCCTGTGAATTGGGATAAGAAAGGATAGTAGAGGAGAGACTCCACTGAGAAGCCTGCTCAATCGCCTGATTTCTGGTCTTGCTACCTCACTAGCACTTTCCTTTACCTCTCTGGCTGGGTGGAGACTGAGCCTTCCTTTAGCCACCCACCACGCCCTGCCCTCCTGCCCCTTACCCACTCCTGAAGGCTGGCCCAAATGTTTGATATTGCCAAAGGCTTGGGATGGGAAGAGATCAGAACATGGGACTGTTGAAGCTCAAGACAGCTGATCTGCTATTGGCCCCACCCACCTTGTCTCTGGGTGAGGAGCCAGGCCCCTCCCTGCCTAGGTCCTGGACCACTTCCCCAAGGGAGCTGTCTTCAACACTGTCCAACTGAGGGCAATGGCAATGCATTACATCCCTAGAGGACCAGGAAACCAAGTCCCTCCCTAGGTTTCATCTTCGTTACTGGTTTCTATCACATGCCTCATGATCCGCTCCTCCCTATATGAGTTGCAGAGATCCCTAACCCAACTCCAGGCTTTGTTTACGGCACACACCTAGACGAGAGAATCAGCGCAATGTTCCCTTCAGGGAGGACCAGGGGAGCACCTGCAGGTGCTGGTGGTGCTGGGCTACAACAGAAGCAATGTCACTTCAGGGGCTTGAGCTTAATTTGTTCTGACTGCAGGATTGATCTTCCTCTTTGCAGAACTGACGTGGAGTTGGAAGCACATTCAAGAACGCTGTGTTGGTGCTCGGAGAAAAAGAAAACAAGTGAAACCCCATGGAAGGCAGAGTGGACTGCATGAGTGATGAAGGCTTCAGCATGGCCCTGGGAGTTAACAAAGTTAGTGCGGTGCTTTCTTTTACATTCCCTGTGAGGAGGTGGGACACATACACACTTCTCAATTCCTTTGTTCATCCCCATTCCCTCACCTCCCTCCATCTCTCGATCCTCTTCCCATCTGAGAAAGATCTAGGGGCACGAAATTACCAGGGCAGCGAGGGACACAGGAGAAGGGGCAAGAGGGACCCTTGTCTCAGGTCCAGGTGAGGAGGCTTTTTGTGATCCTTGGATGCTGGCGCATCCTTGGAAACTGCACCATGGATTTGCCCTGACCCTACACAGGAAGCCAGAGCAGCTGTCCCCACACGCCAGCCAGTCACTGTTCACTGGAGTCAGTGGCCTGATTCCCAAGGCAGCTGCCGTGAGCTCAGGTGCTGGGTGTGAGCCCCAAAGTCTGCTTGCTCTCAGGCTGGGCTGTGTTCTCGCTGGTAAGGGATCTAGATAAGCATGCTCACCATGGTGTCTACTGCACAGGGCTTCTTGTGATGTCCCCAAACCCCACGTGGGAAACATGCTTACCCCGTGCCGCTGGTTTCCCAGAGGGAGGCCTTTCTTTGGAACACAAATTTGCTTCATAAAATCTCGTCCAAGTTTTCATCTGGTTGCTCTTCAGCCTCACAAGCAGACACAGTCCTTAGGAGGAGGGATCATCTGGGACGTGTCCTGCTTGATGAGGGGCCAGCACACCCTCACTCTGGGTTTGCCATTCGTGTGGCGCTGAGATCCCTGGGGAGTTCCTCAGCGTCCCAGAGGTGCCAGACCCATGATTCAAGTTAGGGACTTGGGAGCTAGAACTACTGCTCCCCTGGCTGTCTGAGCTGATGGAGATGCCCAGAAAAGTTCAGCTGGTGCCTTCGAGTTCACCTTGCTCTGTCCATGGCAAACTCCTCTTCTTCCCCTCAGAGGCAGAAGGTGAGCACGGGAGTGAGCCAGAGCTACAGTCAGGAAACCAGGCTCTGACCCAGGCTTGGCCATGTGTCAGGAGATTCGGGAAAAGGCGTTTTGCTGAGGATCAACTTTCTCCTTCTATGTTGAAGTGTGACATTAGAAAGTTCCAATAGGTCCATGTACTGTGACTTCTGAGACTATTTTCATGCTTTGCTTGTATACCATAGCCATCCTTCCTGCTCTGGTTCAGATGTGGTTTTGTCTCCCAGGTGATGGAGGCTTGGTTCTTGGTGTGGCAGTGTGAATGGAGGTCCCTAGGCCCCCAAGGCTGCCCTTGGAAGGAGTTAAGTGGTTCTTGTGGTTCCTAAGTCTGTTCTCGCAGGAGCCAGATGTTACAAACCTGACCCCCAAATTGCTCCCTGTGGCTTTCTGCCTTGCACTCAACCCTCACTCCCACAATGCTCCACTTGTTATGATGCCACCCACCACAGGGCCTTGGCCAGAGCTGAGCAGACACCAGCACCATGCCATCAACCTCCAGACTGTGAGCTCAAGAAGCCT